TACATTCTATAATAACCAATTAATAAACAAAAATACAAATGAAGAAATAATACTAATAACTAATATAAAATAATAAACAAAATTACATATGAAAATAAAATAAAATAACTAATATAAAAATATTGCGTCACACTAGTAAATTTTTCGTGACAATAGCAAGTTTTTGAAAGAAGTATCTAACGAGTCTATCTGAAAAATCATCAATTTTTCAACATTAAAATTACAACCCTCAAGTATTGTTCTGTTTATTTTGAAGCAAACATATTGCTCTGGGAATTTTTCAACTTTCTTTAGGAACAACGTGATCTTTAAGTACTAGTTAAAAAGCTACTTTCAGTATATCTAAATCTTCTTTTTTTTTTGTAAAAATAGGTGCTCAAGTACTAATTTTATGATTAAACCAGTATAGTTGAAATAATCAAAATGGAAAGAGGTTGTAATATGAAAAATTAGGTTGATTATGAAACCATTATATATAAAGATATTTGTTATAAGACATACAATTATTTTTTTTTACTACAAATTTATTTTTCTGAAATATATAAATTGTTGATTGAACTTTAGTGTACCAATATAAAAATAAACTGACTTTATTAAAATATTTTTGTATTTATTACATGAGTTAATCATTGATCGACATGATAATATATACTACATTCATGTCATAGGCATTATTACATATTTAATATCATCCCCACTTAAATTCGTAATTACCGATACAATAAAAGATTTTATTAACACCATCTTTTCAATCTAATATATTCTTGACTAAAGTAAAAATAAATCTTTCAGTTTTTTCTAATCTTTTCTTAAAAGTATCTTCCTTTACGTTGTTAGAAGTAGATTTCTAATCTGCTTATTAACCTTTATTTGTGTTATTATTTTGTTTTTACTTTTTTATATTGTAAATCAATAGCTGGTCTAAGACTTTTTCAAAATAATAATAAAAATGAATTAATTCCTGTTTTGTTTTCTCATTTTGAATTTCTTTACTGTTATTCATAGAAGATAAAGATACCTTAGTTAATATTGTTTCAGTTCAGTTTCAGTTTGTGAGGAGAAATTGATGTTCTGGAATTCTTTGATAAGTTTCTTAAGGATAGAGAAATCCTCTCTATTATCAATCTTTTGTTTTTTTAACAGAAGAGTATTTTATTGAACTAACTTTCTTTAGGAATATTGTTACACTTGGTTGGTAAACCAATATCGGGATATTATTTTCACCTGTGATATTATAAAGCGTGATTTTTTGTATATCATTTTCATTATTTCTAATATGCTTGCTCCACAATTTTCTGTGTTGGGAGAGGTATATTTTTCTGTTAATTTTAGCTCTTGCAATAATACCAATTCACCTTTATCGTCATCGATGGTTATGTTTGATTGTTGGAAGTCTTTTCTTTATAATCAGATCACATTTTCAAGCAAGCGCAGATTCTTCTCAATATCCAATTTACAGATTGGACACAAGTTTCTTCACGTATAATATGATTTTCAATACATAGTTGATGAAGTAAGTGTTCGCATCGCAAATAGTAAGAGGTTCGAAATGGAATTCAAACATTGCTTTTTTGCAGAGTTTACATGGGACAAGTCTTGATATGTATTTATTATCTGGATCATGAAAATATTTTAGTTTCGGAGGTAATTTAACAAAAGTATTTCAAGGTCATAGAATTTGAAATTATTTTTGCTTATAGAGGTTAATGGTTCTTTAGGTATTCCCTCACTTGTCATTTTTTTTTCGGAAAACATCCTATTATCATTTCTTATGATATCTTATATATCTGCTTACATTCCATTGAAAATTTCTACCCAACTTGATATTACATCCGAAAATTTGTAATGTAAATTTATTATAGTAGAATCTAAAGGAGACAACAAATTTCAGGATCAGTGAAAAACAAGAAAATACAGGATGGCTGGGGGAATTGGTTCCTTTACCACAGTCTTGCTACTGCCATAAATTTTTGATCCTTTTTTTTTTGTAATTAATTATGAAAACAAATACTGGTACAATAATCAGCTACAAATGTGAAAGCAAACATAACCTGCAAACTATAGTGCACACATGAAGTAAATACAAGTATAAAGATTGATTTTTACATGAAAGTAAACAAGAAGTAAAAAGTTGTCAAAGCCTTAATTGACCGTGTAAGTAATATGTGTACTTTGAAAAATCTGAATCCAGTATAAATTGGTGCAACAAACTGATAACATCCTCTCATTGCCTCTGTGATCAAACCTGAACGCTTGAATTTTTTTACAGTTTGATATATTTCAATAGTAAAAGTTTGAATCAGAATTGACATTGTAATATACAATTCTCAAGAAATCGTTTGTCATTTTCAAATTCGGATAACTAGTCAAAAACATATATTTTTTTCAATGATAGTGAAATAATCACTAGAGACTATATAGAGAAGCATATCAGAAGTTTTACTGTAACTATACTGGCAATTATCTTTTAGACCATTTAGAGACTGTTTATTTTAGATGTAACTGTTTTATTCCTAGTGCATGCTCAAATTCGATAGGTATATAATAACTATCCTCATCAACAGTTGAGTGATCGCCATACTGTACATGTTCAATAACATCACACGCAAGTTGTGCTTAGGGCAATCTAAAAGGGCTTTTAATGTTAATATCTAAGATTTTCATAGTGCAGGATGATCGACAAAAATAAGATATTAAAAATAAAAGAGATAAATAATCTTTAACATTTTATTTTGATAGTTTTAATAAAATTTTCTATATCTGGAATAAAAGAGTGAAACATTTCATTTTTAAATCGTTATCTCTAATATTATTAGAGTTATTATATACAGTATATTTTATATATTTGTAATTCTTTATTTTTCATTCTTTACAAAATCGGCATGAACGAACGTTTCAAGGAGAGAATAATGTGATTGTATTATTTTGTCGTTTCTTGTTGATTACACAAAATTTATCCGTTATGCATAGAATTTTTTTTTTTCGAGACGTGCATTTTAAATTAACAAAATATATGATACATGACATGCACACATGAAACGTTATAATAAAAATCCACTTTATGCATAATAAAAATTTTTAATGAAATTTAATGAATTTAATGAATTTATTTATTGAAACGACGGATTAATAGACGGATTAATTATATTTTTATTTTTTATTTTATTTTGTGAAAATAGTTCGTACATAATATAATAAAGATGATAATAATAAAAAAATTTTTGAATAAAAATTTTTTTCTTTTTCTTTTTCTTTAGATAATAATAAAATGAAAGTGATTTGAAACGGTTGTCACTGCGTCACTTTTCAAACGCGTTACGTCATACCATTATCATAAATAGAAGTCATAATAAAAATCATTTTACAATCAGTCAGTCGGTTATAATAAATAAAAAAATCTTTATTTTTTTATTTTCCTTTATTAAAAATATTTCTTTATTAAAAATATTTTTTCTTTTTAATTCATTCTTATTAAACATGTAATTGAAAAAAGTTAGAGGGTTGTTTTTGCATATATATAAAAAAAAAAAGAATACATGTTTTAGTTAAGGTTATATTGCTTTTGTTTTTTGTTTTTTTTTTTTTTTTTTTTTGTTTTTTTTTTTTTTTACTATTATAATAAAATAATCAAGTAGCGATGGTTGTAATTATAATTTTGTTCTTTTATCTGTTATCTGATATCCGTCTTTTTAATGATTTGTTTGGTTATATGGTTATATGCATATATATAATGTGCGATAGATGAATTCTTCCCTTTCCATGGAATATGGGAATAAAAAAAAAAGAGAAGAGAATAAGAAAAATTGTTGTTAAAGTGAAGAGTTATTTAAAAAAATCTATAATACTAATAATAATGCGAAGAAATAAGAAGAAATAAGAAGAAATAATGCGATTAAAAAAATGAATTTGTGGATATATGTGGTGTATGTGTATGTATGTGTATGTATGGAGGGTGTTATAATTAATAAGTCTCATTTGTGTTAAAATTACATAATTTTTTTTTGTCGTAAAAATTAATATCTGTAAATATATATATATATATATATATATATATATATAACATTGCGATTATGATTAATTTTATTGTGTGCCTGTCTGTCTGTCTGCGCGCTTATATTTTTATTTTTGTCGAAAAAATATTTGAAAAAGAAGAATATTGAAAAAGAATAATATTATGATTGTTTTTCGCGAATTAATTAACTAACATAAAGAGATTTCCTATAAAAGTGACGTTGATGGATGACGAATTATATATAAGTACATATGTAAATATGTAAATATATAAATAAATGAATTGCTGTATTTGTAAATAAAGTAAAAAAAAAGAAAAAAGATAAAGTATGACTAATTTTCCCTCCTTTGCACATCATACACATACAACACGTAATATACTTTAAAAAGCCTAAAGATGAATAAATGCCAAAAAAGATGAGTCATTTTCGTCATGTCATGATCCATGTCATCATCGTGGTTAATGATACTAATCAGGTAATCATCTGTGATATATTTTTTATACTAAATCATCAATCAAATAATCAATCAAATATATTCAATTCATAAAAGAAGTTCCTAAAAAAGAGGGGAAGGAATTTTCGCTATATAATGAAAAATAAAGGAGGAAAAAAATGAAGAATACAATCAATCATCAAACCACTAAATAACACTAAATAAAGCTAACCAAAAAAAAGGATATATATACATATAAATATATATATAATTGATGAAAAGGGGATGATAAAAAAAAATGGTGATAATAATATAATTTTTAATATATTTAATAGAATGGAATCAATTCCTCACTCATCACCTTTTAGTAATGAAAAAAAAAAGAAAAAGAAGAAATATATATATATATATATATGTAAAAAAGAAAAAAAAAAAGAAATATATATATGTAATATATATATGCAAATTTACAAATATATGAAATATTATTTATTTATTTTTATTTACAACTTTCCGTAAAGATCAAATTCCTTACACATTCTTCGATCATATGTTGACATTGCTTCAGATGATATTGCCATATCGTTAATATCCAATGGAAGAGGTGGTAAAGGAGAATGATGTTGAGGATAAGGATGTTGATGATGTTGATAATGATGATGATGTTGTTGTTGTTGTTGTTGTTGTTGTTGAGGACGATGAGAGAATGATGAATTTGATGATAATATCGGTGATGGTAACGGTAGTGATAATGATGGTAATGAAGACTGTGTTAATGTTGGTGATAATGATTTTATTGAAGGTGATGATGATGTTGATGGTGGTGGTAATAGTAATGGTATGAACTGTTGATCGTATTGGTCATATGATGATGATGATGATGATAATGATGGTGGTGATGATAATGGTGATAATGAAGATGATGGAGATAATGGTGATATTGATGATGATTGTGGAGGTGGAATTTGTGAATATAATGGTGCATATAATAATGGTTTGGATTGAGTTAAAGTTCTTTTTAATAAAGCTGGTGTATAAGGTGGAGAAGGTGGAGTTGATATTGATGTAGAATTACATGATAAGGAATTATATGAATTATTATTATGATTATGATTATTATATGAAGAATTGGATGAATTATATGAATTATATGTGTTGTTGTTGTTGTTGTTGTTGTTGTTGTTATTATTATTATTGTATAGTGAAGTTGTTGATGTGGATGATGATGATGTTGATAATAATGTTGTTGATGTTGGTGATCTTACACCAGGTTCATGTACCATTATCATTGGTTCGTTCGTAGTAGCTTGTCTTTTTGGTTGATAAACGTATCCCGGATACATATAATCATGAACTTTTTTTGCACATGAAGCAAGGAATCCAAAAAGATCTTTAACTTCTTGACTTTCTGATTTCCATTTTTTTGAAGCATGTTTAGAAACATAATCTAATCTACCCGCAGCACTTGACCCTTTGTCTTTAGCTATTTCCGCTTGAACATTTCTACGATAAATAACGAAAGAATTTTGAGGTCTTGGATTTTTTACAGTTCTAACATTAACACTAGGAGTGATAAGTTCAGGTAATGGTAGAGTTGTATGTTTTTTTATTTTTATCTGAGTTGCTTCATTAATTGTTTCAGCGATAATTTGTTCAACGATTTCAGATTTTGAAAGTGGGAAAGGTGGTTGTCCATATTGATGATGATGTGGATTATGATGAGGATTATGATGATAAGAATTTACGAGTCGTTGGTTCTTACTAGTCTCGAAACAATAATATGACATCTTAAACGTGTTCATAATATAAAATATGATATGAAAGAAATAAAAATTTCAAAGAATTTTTTATTTTTAAAGAAATTTTTATTTTAAAAGATACAACAGTAATCGAGTTATTTTGTTGTGGTTTGTTGTAGTTGTTTTGTTTTGTTGTTTTTATTATTGAAGAAGAATAAGAATAAGAATAAGAATAATAAAAAGGTAAGTAAAAAAAAATCTTGTGCAAGAAAAAAACAACAAAAAAAAACACCTTTCCGAAATTCTGAATCTTTTTTGTTTTGAAATCAAAGAAAAACAAAAAAAAAGGTGGGGACAAACTAACCTTTTATTTTTTTTCTAGATTTGATGTTCCAAATAAATAATTAAAGTAAATAATAATTGTAATTGTTATTTAAGTAATTGAAGTAATTAAATAATAGAAATAAAAATAATAATTGTAATTAGAATTTATATATATATATATAATATATAATATAATATAATTTAATAATAAGTAATAATAATTATACAATAGAATAATTTAAATTATTGATAAATTAAACAATGAGCTCAATATAAAAAAAAATTTCTAGCGAATAGGATTTTTGTTAATTTAGATTGTTGAGCCTTTATAAGTTTTTTTTCTTTGTCTTTTTTTTTACTTGATTTTTTTTTTATTATTATTGATGTGATGTATGTACTTGATGCACCACGGCAAAACCGCAAAAAAAAAAAAAAAGATTACAATTTACTTTCCAATACTTTTAATGCTTTTTTTTTGAATACTCAATACATTATACTTTCTAAAATATTTCATTCAAATAAATAAATTCAATAAAAAAAAAATTTATCAAAATAATTACAAACAATTGTAGCAAATAAAAATAATCATCCAGAAATGATTGAAGTATTAATTAAGTATGAAAGGATTGAGAATTAAGTAATAATAATATAATTGAAGTATTTTTTTTTTTGTTGCAGAAATGAAGAAACAGAAGAAGGAATAATAATTTAACAACCAAATAGCAGCAGACTCGGTAAATATAAAAATAAATAAATAAATAAATCCAGATTTTATTATGGAATCTATTTTCCCCTCTATTTTAGGTTAAAATGATAATCAAATTTATGTATAATTATTACTTCTTACATGACCTTTTGATACGCCGCTTGCCGACAGTTATTATTATTATTAATTTAGAAAATCTTGGAGATGATATATATATATATATAATATAATTGATATAATGATATAATTGATAAAAATATATATTAATCGAATTGATAAATAAATAATTGATGATGATGACGATGATGATGAACACATGAACAATATAACAATATGTAATAAAAATAAATAAATGATTACAATCAATAAAAATACGTAATCGATATATTTAATTATAAATCACAAATTAGTAAAGTATAGTAATAATAATAACTGATGATGATAATAATAGAATTTCTTGTATGGAAAAAATATACATTTATTTTTAGTCAAATTGCTTAATCAAATTTAATTAATTTAATTAATAATAAATAAATCAAAAAGATTCTATGATCAAATACTTTTTTTTTAAAAATTATTTAAATCTATTTATAAATATTGGAAATGTAACCAAGAAAAAAAATATAATTAAAGAAAAATATAACCAAAAAAAAAACACAACACAACACTGCAATGCCAAGAAAACCAAAAAAAAAAAATAATAATTAAGAAATAAAAAAAGTAACTCATCAATGGTAATTAAAAATCTTTAGAATTCTATAGTTAAAATTCATAGAATTCTATAATTAAAAAATGTCAAAGCCACATTTACACATACTTACTTAAATTAATAGCTAAATAATAATAAATAGTAACAACAAATAATAATTATAATAATTTTAGTAATTCACAATTTTTTTTTCTTTTTTTTTTATGCTCATTAAACTTATTCATTATATCATTATATCATTCATTATATCATTATTGTATTATTATAGTAATAATAAATATCCCTGATAAAGTAATTGATTTAATGTTTAAATACTTTTATATACTAATTTATACATTACAATACAATTATAATTTAAAGATATAAATACTTTATTTTATATATATATATATATATATCTCAATTAATTACATACATATAATCATAAATATCATTATAAATATCATTAGATTATATATAACCGAAATTGGGACACAGATTTCGGGTTCTGGCTCTGTGTAATAACCGTAATAACCGTAACAAGAATATTGTAATAATATTTAATGATTAGATGATTCATTTTTCTTACTTCATTGAAAATCCATAAATGTCGAATTAAATGAATGCGTGTATCACCTTTAGAATTTCTCTAAAATGGTCAAACAAGATAACTACAATATCTAATATACTGATATATAATAATAATAATAATAATAATAACAATAATAATAATAATGATAACAACAACAACGGTATCAGCAGCAAGCAACAACAACGGCATAACAACAACACACCGTACATTGAATACATTGAATATACATTCACATTGAATGAATACACAGATATTATTTAGATATGGATATTAAAGAATGAAAACAAAAGGAGAAATCATCTGACCACTTTTACAATTTGTAAATTTGTAATTGTATGACTTTATGACTTGTATGACTCATCCCATTTTTGATTGATTTGGTAATTTATCATGTGTTGGTAATGTACTGTAAAAGTGTTTTTTCTATTGTCTTCCAGAACAAATTATTTATTCTATTATTATCTATTATCTATAAACCCTTACGTCATTTTGGAACAATGTGCTTCTATTTTAATCATTTAAATATTTTATTATCAAGTAATAATAATATTGATTTACATTTTTAGTTATCTTTTTATAGATAATAAATTTAAGGAAAAAGAAAAATGTTTATGAAATGAAAAATGTGTAGAAATGCAATATAGAAAATGTAAGAGAAAATTTTCGCCCCAACATATATTTTACACCTTATTACACAATAGAAATATATATATTTTATAGTATAGATTATACTTAATAATTGATATTACACAAAATATTGCAACCACAATTTTTTTTTATTCGTTTTATCCATTCTTTATCCATTCTTTATCCATTCTTTATTCATTCTTTATTCATTCTGTTAAAAAAAAAGTTTATCAAAATGAATTGTTAGCCGGAAAGTGCGCATGGCAACCATTGTATGCACAATCGTTTTAATGAATTAACTCTTTGAAATGTGATAGCTTAATATATAGTAAATTATTTATTAATATATCATTTTATTTTATATAAAATAAAATGAATAAATATATATATATATATGACAATAACAATAAATAATCGTAATACTGTTATTATAATTATTATCATCACTATAATGGTAATAATTGTTATAATGTGTATAATAATGAAATTCGGATATTTAGAACTCTTTGTCTCTTTGTTCTACTAACAGAACGGATCTCTTGATCTCTTGGGTAATCGATGTTCAAAACAATAACCAAACATTGTACATTTGGTGTCAGGTGTATCAGGTGTTATTTATGTGTATATGTTTTGTTGTTGTTGTTGTTGTGTGTGTTATGAGTACGCGCGCGAAGTGTATATTGTCAAATGTCAGTTATTATTATTATTATTATTATTATCATCATCATTTAATTATCACAGAAATTATATCTCAAAAGTCATTTTATCCCACATTTCATTCATTACTTTTTAGGTTATTTTAATTTCTCTTACATCATAAAAACAAAAATTTTCTATTTCGATTTCTTTTTTTGGAGTTAAATGAATAACTTTTACTGTTATTGATGTATAACAATTGTACACTACACAAATGTTATAATTGTATATTGTATAATTGTATAATAATTCAATAATAATTGTGTTGTGCAATGAGAAAAAAAAATAAATAATTTGAGATTTTTTTTTTTTTTTAGAATATTTTCATGAAATCACATGTTATTTTACTGTTGCATTTTATTACATTATTTTATTTTATTTTATTTATTATTTTATTTTATTCATGAGATTCCATAATAATCAAAAAATACTAATGAAAGCCAATTACAGTAATTGATTAACTATCAATTTATAATTTATAATTTATAATTTATAATTTATAATATTATTTAAGACTAAAAAACAAATAATTTTTGGGGGAAATTTTTTTATTGGATTGGAATAATTATATAATTATGATAAATTAATTTTAAACATTTATATAATCATGAATAATACTGTATATTCTAAGTTAAAAAGAAAAGTTCAAAGAAAGTTCTCACGCGGCCATTTTTGGTGGTGGTTTGTTGCTGTCTTCCTTATTTATAATAAATAATATAATTATCATATTCATTGTATTCATGTATCAATCATTTAATCATTCAACCATTCAATCATTCAATCATTCAATCATTCACTTCTTCCTCATTCATCCATTTCATTCATTCATTAAAGTTCATCATTCTCGTCTCGCCTTACCTTTAAAGTATTTATTGTTTCACTTTCTTAAATATTATTTTGTGACCTTTAGGTAATATAATTACACGTGATTATGTATAATGCTTGCCTTAAATGTTCTTATTATACATATTATTATATAAAATTTTCGTGATTTTTTTTTTAAAAGAATTACTTTTAGAATGATTTTTAGAATGATTCTTCTGCGTAAAGAATTATTCCATTACATGTAATAATAATAAATAATAAATACAACAACAATAATAATTTTAAATATAAATGGCAACAACAAAACAACAACAGTAACAAAAAAAAAAACAATAAAAGTAGGCGATAATAAAAGCAACATCAGAGCACCGGAAAGACGTGTACTTTTACATTCATTTTTACATTCATTTTTACATGCATTTTTTTTTTTTTTTACGAAAAAATATTGAAAAAAAAATATGCAAAATGCACAGACGGTTTTTATAGTTCATAAAAATTTGTCATGCAGTAAAGAGATAATTATAGTGAAATCAATAATGTTATTGATATTCAATTTTTTATTATTATTATCATTATCATCATTATTATTGTTAATCTTAAAATTTTAATAATTTAGAAATGTAAAGAAGTGTCCATGTAAAGAAGGAGTTTCTTATTGATGCAAAAAGAATATCAAAATTTTTTGGAAAGAATCTGCAAATTTTAAAAATTTACGGATTCATTTGTGATTTTAAAAAATATTTACATTTAAACATAACTGGCAATGATCAATTGATAAAAAGATCAAAAAAGATACAAAGATTATTTCGTACTAACGCACAGTCCAAAAAAAATAAACGAAACAGAAAACAACGATGTGCATAATCATCATTAATATTATTTATTCATTTTTTTTAATTAATTAATTATTAGTTATTATTATTGATATTTGACCTAAATGAATAATTATATAAAATCCAAAATAAATAAAATAAATATTGTTAAAAAAAAAAAAAGATGATCTCAAGAAATTGGCTTTCTTTAATTACCATTTTTGCATTATGTTTCACGTTACAAATGGCAGATTTCTGTACTGCTAATTATATAATCAAACAAAGAAAACGTAAAATAATCTAAAAACATCTAAAGCATCTAAAACATCTAAAGCATCTAAAGCATCTAAAGCATCTAAAATATTTAAAAACGTGCTGTTTTATTAACAGATGATTTGAACGTATATGACACTTTTAATCCCGTGATCCTGACAGCCGTGACAATAAGATGTGATTTTTTTAAAAAAAAATACCTGTCAAGAATCACATATTTTTTAAAAAAGGAATTTTATTCTCTAATCACTTTTGATTTTTATGATTTTTGTGATTTTTTATTAACAGTTTGACCATTTAACAACGAAAACCAACCAAAATAACGAAACGTATAAAACAAACAAAGATGTATTAAAAATTCAATTCAACAAACTCAATCGTATGAGAATATCAGTACCATCACTCAAATTATTTCTTGTGAAGATAAAGAAGCGTTATTGGTAAATAATAAAACCAAAGAAAAAAAGATAATAGTGATGACAATGATGATAGTAATGATAATGAAAATATTTGATATTCGACTAAGTAAATACCACTCGAATCTGATGATAATTCAAGTGGTCAAAGCGGTCAAAGAGATTCAATGATCATGGCAATCAAAGAAATCCAAGTGGTCAAAGTGAAATCATTATAATTATACTATTAACTATTAATCCAAAAATAATGAACTTTTGGACTTATAGTTCACGGATTAATATTAAAAGGATATCCGATTACATTTTTAGAATATAATCGTGAATCATTTACACCATATTTGTTATGAAAAGAAGTAAGATGTGTGATGTTAAAGCTAAATAAAGATATAAACAAGTTTTCTTTTATCTTTCACCCAACGTTGATCAATCACGCCATCTATAACAATAAATAAAAAAAAATCGTTATTTGAATTTTAGATTTATAAATATAAGTTTATAAGTTTTGTGGACAATAATTTAACATATATTTAAAAATATATATAAATGCTTTAATAATTAATTGATTATAATTATCATATGATTATTATGTAAATAGATAGTAAATATGTAACAAAATAGGTAACAAAATAGGTAATGAAAATGGTAAATTAAATAAAAGTAGAAGAATCAACTGATCTCATGTATAATATATCAAAAATTTAATTGGATGATTTCTCGAAAATTAACGCGTGTTTAATTTTGATTTGTCATGATCATCAAATTTATTTTTAATAATGCATCTCAGATATATAGACAGTATATTTGTATCAATTGCATCATTGTTCTTACTACATTTAAAATCATAATAATTATTATTATCTAAACTGAGTAAAAAGAAAAAAAAAATTAAACTAATAAATAATGAAATATGTAATCAAAATAAATAATTTTGTAGAAAATGTGTAATCAAAATATATAAGAAATGTAATCAAAAAATGGGCTGATTTATTTGTAAAATGAAATTCAGCAATTATTAATAAAATTATTGCATACAATGTAACTAATTTCTATTATAGTATTACAATAAAATGACAATAAAGTACGTATAGATATCAAATATATATATACTAATTTTTTTTTTATTCAATTTCTTTTTCTACTTTTTCTACTTTTTCTACTTTTCCCACACATACACAAAATACATCATTTGTACATATATAAAACTGCACATATAATCTGATACATCTGACACACCTAGCATCATCTGATACATTTGATACATCACTAAGTACATATACATATATAGAGTATTGAGAAAGTGAAAAAAAAAAAAAAAGAAATGAAACAAAGATATCTAATAACGTTCGATGGATCAGAGAATTCGGAATATGCTTTATTCTGGTCATTAGAAAATTTAATTGATCCAGATAAGGATGAATTGTTATTATTGAGTGTAGGTGTTTTGACTGATGTTTCTCCTTTTGAATATGAATACACGGCTGCCTCAAGTAAATTATTTTTTTTTTTGTGATTAAAAGTATTATTATTTTTTTTATAATTAAAAGATGGGATTTTTTTTTTTTTACTTTAAGGAAATTTATTGCCTCAAAGTGAAATAGAATTGCAAAAAAAGCAAGTAAGTTATTGAGCTAGATTAATATATATATATTTACATACATATTATTTATTTTATTAATTTAATTTATTTATTTTATTTATTTTATTTTACTTTATTTATTTTACTTTATTTATTTTACTTTATCTTATCTTACTTTATTTTATTTATTTTACTTATTTTATATTTAGGTAGAAGAACAAGCAAAAGGGTATATTAATCAAGCAAAGAAAATAATTACAGATTTTTATTCTACTCATAAAAGAAAATCATCTTTTCAGGTATTTTATTATTCAAAATATATATACAGTCAGACCCCTCTATAGTAGTCACCCCCCTCTATAACCACATAAAAATTCATTATACGTAAAAAAAAACCTCTTTATTAGCACATTTTTTTAAAAAATTTATTATGATCTCGATGGTTTGATTATAAGTTTAACTGTATATATATGTATTATAAATTATTTTAATTTATTTAATTTAATTAATTTATTTTTATTTTAATTAATTTAATTTATTTAATTTAAATTATTTTTAATTAATTTAATTTATATAATTTAAATTATTTACAATTTTTTTTTTTTTTTTTTTTAAAAAAAAGCATCTTACATATGAATCGTATGTCAATTCAAGTTCAGACCCTACAAATTACATTATTGAATTCATTCGAGAACATAATGTAGATGCACTTGTAATAGGTGATCAAGGAATTGAAAATGAAATTAATCCAAACGAAAATAATGTTGGAAATGTTTCTCAACGCTGTTGTATCCATTCTGCTATGTGTACAGTGATTATTGCTCGAAAAAAAAGGAAATAAAATAATTGTTTATATTAATTTCACGTAATAAATAGATAATAAAATAAATAATAAATAAATCAATATATATATATTTATTTAAATATTTAGATATCTTTTATTTCACGAGAATTAAAATATCTTTCCATTTATTCATTTATGTAAAAAATGAATTCAATAACAATTTTTTACATCGAAACGGCTACATTATTACCCTTATTACCACATTTATTACCACATTTATTTATTCACTATTTACAAAAATAATAAATAATCATATGTAGTTTAAATAATAATAATTATTATTATATATAGGCATTAAAGATATTTTGTATATGTTAAAAAATATTTTGATATAAATTATAATGAGGATGTAAATTATTATGATTGACGATTTTAGATCTTTAAATCTATATTCAAAATGAGGTTATTCTTTTTTTCCTACGAATATTATTCCACACTTTCGCATATCTTTTTTTCCAGCAACATTATTTATTTTTCTTTTCTCTATGGATAGAGAAGAACTTATATATCGCACATTATATATATATAAATTCGTATAGAACCAACTAAATTAGTAACAATAAAAGATAAATAAATGAATAAATGTATATATATGCGAAAACAAATAAATTTTCAATTGCATGTTTAATAAGAATGAACAAAAGAAAATATTTTTAATGGTAACGTAACGCGTTTGAAAAGTGGCGTAACGATAAAATATTAAATTTAAATCCTAACATTGAAATTAATTAATTGCTAATTTAAGATCTGGCAAAATGATCTTTCAAAAGTCACAAAGTATTCATAAATTAAATAATTTATATATTCTATATATTCGATCGAATATGAAATTTGTTAGTTTTTCATTGACAATTCCATCGGGTTGTTCGCCTATCAGCAACATTATTGTCATCAAAGTACCGATGACATTCCATCTGCATCCAAGAGAACGATATGGGAGCATATCGATCTTAGGATCCTTATATATACGAAAAAGAAAAGAATTAAATTTAGTAAATTGTAGCAACTATCATAAGTAATATATATATAAAAGAAAAACGAGCGTTCGCTTACTTTAGGCGTAATAGTTCCAAACTTGTAATTATACGCTAAAACGGAGCAATTGTCTATTGAACTTCGGTTTTTAAGTTAGTTGATGATGACACGTCATTATTGTCACTTATATCATTGCTAAAAGGATTTTCTCAAGTATACATGCAAACGATACAAACAACTACATTTATTTTAATCGATATTGCAAAAAGAAAAACAAAGAAAAATACAAAAAAAAAAAAAAAAAAAAAAAAAAAAAGTCGAAACCAACTTTGATAACTTACTCTATGATGATTGACATAGAGTATAAATGAACTTACGTCATATATATACATAGATAAGTTACGTGAACTGAAAATATTCAAAGTAATAAATTCATCAAGTCTCAATGGATATTATTATATTAAATATTATACAAAAAGCAGAAATATTGATTTTTATGTAAATGACAAGATAATTTTTTTATTAGTTTTTATTTTATTATTTCTGCCTTCAAAAACCAAATAAACAAAATATCACTTTTAAAATTGAATCTTATAATAGATTCAAAATATCACTTTTAAAATTGAATCTTATAATAGATTTAAAATAGAATAATATACTGTATATTCGTGTTTTTTAAATAAAGAAATAAGAATAATATAGATATAAGTATACGTGAACAAATAAATCATATATAACATAGTACATAAATCACAAGTATATCTTAGAAGGATGATCAGCGGAACAATAGATTATTTCTTCTATTGTTGTTCATAGAAAATAAATAGTTTGTATTATTAAGATTTATAATAAAAGGATAATATTAAAATCAAAAGTAGACGAATTTCTTTATCAGTAATCGCTCGGATTGTCGGATTGCCAAATTATTATTGTGGTACAAGAATATATTAATACAATTTCTTACGTTATGAGAATTTCTGTTTCTTGTCCCTTTCGTCTCCGCAATGAAAAATCAAATCTAACTGTGATTTTAAGGCATTATTAATACAATTGTTTAATTCATGTAATACCAAAATTCTCATAATTTACACACATGATTTGATATAAAATATGTTAGTTTGTCGCGTGTTTTTTTTTTTGTTAATTTATGCACATGACTTGATAATATCGGTTTGTCACGTTTTTATTTTTTTTGCGTTTGATCTTTGTCTCTCGCTTATTTCGTTATTCAACGCCTATTGGACTCTAATTTAGTTAATACCTTACGATTTCGTAACTCATATTCAGTTGCTTTAGTCGCTTTCTCGTGCTCTTGTTTTTGTGCTCTTTGTTTCTTATATCAAACCAAAGTTTTTTTTTTTTTTTTACTCTTGCTGTTAGTTCTAAATTCTTATTTTAATCATTTCACTCTTTTTGATAACTTTCAAATTATTTTATAAGCTCAAATTCAAGTTTCTACTTTTTTACTGTCGAAAAAATGAGTAAGATCTTTAGAAATAAGGTTTTTGCGGAAAGTTAAGATGAAACTTGAAAATATGTTAAATTTTAAAATTTTATTATTATTATTTATTATTTTCTTATTTTATTATTATTATTTTTTTTTTACTTTCTTTAAGCATAAATATACTATAGGATGAATCTTCTTCACGAAAATTGAAATTATGAACGGTTTAATTCTCTATATAAAGTCAAAAACAGTGAATTGTTGGAAGTAATTCTTTTCAAATTTAAGGATAGACTGTAAAACTATGATTTTTTGGTAACATATGAAATAATTTTATATAACACAAAACTGATAAATAAAAATTATAAAATTATGAAAAATTTATTTAGTTTTCGCGATAAATTTTTTTTTTTTTGAACAAATTATGAATTACCCCCGAGAAAAGTAATCGAATTGTAAATTCCAGTGTAACAGTGTTTTAACCAACTACCCCAAGAATACGCAAAAGTATCGTTTTTGATAGATTTATGGTTTTTTTTTGATACACCTTTGGTTATTTTTTTTGATACAACTAATTATTCGATGTTCACATGATTTTGTTAGAGGACCCTTATCCTATGCCCCTGGTATAGGTACAGACTCTTATACTTATGTCCCTCCGAATTTTATTGGTCCATAATTTAACAGGTGATCATAAGGATTTCATGTGTTTAATTCATGTGACAGATTTAGGTGACAAATATTGGGTGACAAATGTGGTTTCCACATGTAAAAAAATTCTAAGTCCCTAGGATATTTAATAAAAATCGATATTCTAAGGGTGTGATACAAGGTAATAAATAACCCACCCCTGATAAACCCTAACCCTAACCATGCGTTAAGGTGGTTACACAATAATTGGCACGGATAAGATTTCCGTTTTTGTTATGAGCGTCCTTATTCTGGACCCTGGTTCAGGGTGAAATTTATGAACCCCCGGGGTTCAGGCAAATTATTCTAGACCCCATCCTTTTTAGTAATAAA